AGTGGGAGGTCGCAGGCAGTGAGCGGTGAGCGGTGGCTGGTTGCACAGCTGCTCAGAGCCTGCTGGGCCCCCTCTCCTGGTGGCTTCACACCAGGCCCCCAGCCCTTTCATAGTACCCGCGGAAGGGGAAGGCCCCCCACCGTCCTCCTTAAAAATGAGAGGAGCCCGGCGGGCGTGGCTCAGTGGTTGAGCGTCGAACTATGAACCAGGAGGTCACGGTTCGATTCCCGGTCAGGGCACCCATCCGGGTTGCAGGCTCGATCCCCAGTGTGGGGCATGCAGGAGGCAGCCGGTCCATGATTCTCTCTCATCATGGATGTTTCTATCTCTCTCTCCTCTCCCTTCCTCTCTGAAACCAATAAAAATACATTTTTTTAAAAATGAGAAGAAACTCAGGAAATATATCAATCGTATTGTAATAACCATGCCAGGTGGGTGCTGGAAACATGGGGGGCGGGGGGACACTAAATGCTATGATTGCCTAACTCAGTGGTTCTCGGCCTTGGCTGCACATTAGAATCACCTGGGCATCTTTATAAAATCCTGGTTTCTGGGCCTCATCCTCTGGAAATTCTGTGTCTTTGTTACTAATGTTGTGGCCCCACCCCATAACAAAGAAAGCTATGCTCTATGCCTGAAACCAATACAAAATAATACTGAATGTCAACTGTAATTGAAAAAGAAAAGAAAAAAATAAGAGAAAACTTTAACGTGCGCTGCTCCCACTCACCAGTCCCTGTCACCTGAGACCAAAGGGCCTGTGGAGAGTGGGGGGACTCGCCAGCCCAGCCGGTAAGCAAGGCCTCTGGGGGGAGGGCCATGGAGATCGCCCCCCACACTTGATTGGAAGAGGCTGAACTGTGCCCCCCACCCTCCTCTCCGCAGCTCTGAGTCTCCCGAAGAACAAAGGCCAGGAGGAGGTTCCCCCCCTCAGCCCGCTGAGCCGCCCCCTGGACTGGAGACGGGCCATCTTTATCTAATTACACGCTCCCCACTCCCCAGCCGGCAGGCGGTGACTCACTCCACCCCGGGAGAGTGGCCAGTTTAAAATAGCCCTCGGAGGTTAAGCACAAAAGGTATTTCTCGGGGGACTGCCACTGTGGACGCACAAAGGCCTCATGCTAACCTGAGCAGCTCAGGGGGGGCGGGCAGGGAGGGTCCCACAGACTCAGAGACCAAGAGGAACCAGAGCACGGACGGTGGGAAATGGAAGCGAACAGCCTTCCAGGCGGGTGGCTGTGCCCTGGGCTGGGCCTGGCCCTGACAAAGGTCAACCTTGACCTCCAAGCCTGTTGTCTGTTTTTGCATCTGCAGTAGCGCACCTGACGGCTCACCTTTGCAGGATCGAGGTCATTTTTTCCCCTAACAAAGGTCAACCTTTGCCTCAGCTCAGCCTCTTTTTTTTGCATCTGCAGTAGCGTGCCCGACCGCATTCCCCGCAGCGTTTTACCTGTTAATCATTGCCGCTCACTACCCGCACCTGCACCCCCCCTCCCCCCCGTGTAAAGGAGCACGTGTCCATCACTTGACTTTGTATCCAGGCCCAGGGGTTTCCCGCTCTCCCGCCTCCCTGGTCCATCACCAGTGATGTCTTGTCGCCCCTGCGTCTTCCCCTTTGGTTCTGCCGCAGAGTAAGGGGTAAGCATCCTCCCGAGCATTCTCTCAGGCCCTGGAAACTGCTTCCCGGCGGCTGTCGTCAGTTCGGATGAAATCAACTCAAAAAGATTCCCGCAGGTTTGGACATTTCTTACGTGGGCACCACGCATCGCTCGCAGCACCAGCACGGCACACGCAGCCGCTCTCGGAAAACCCTGCGTGTGTTCGTACAAGGCAGGTTCGGTTCTTAGAAGCGGTGCCAGGAGGAAAACACACAGGAAATCGCGAGACCCCCAGCCCTTCACCCGCTGCCTCCGTGGGGAAGGGAGACGGCGCCCCGCAGCCTTGGGAGTCCAACCGACCGCTAGGCTGGCTGGTGACTGCACCTGGCTCCTCCCACCCCGGCAGGTCAGGCTCCTCCCACCCCGGCAGGTCGGCTCCGAGCGGTGCTTGTTTATAAGTGACCCCGCAGCGCTGCCTGCTCTGCTTCCCCCCACCCTGTCTCGGACGCTCGCTCCCCACGTCGCGGCCTGGCTCGGGGCCTCCCTCATTGTCTGAGGCTGTCCCCAGAAGATGAAAATAACCTTTCCTTTCTGGGCTGCCCCTTTGATTCCGCCCTCTCGGGGAGCAGACGCGACTTCCTGTGTTTGGACAGCTCGCCCAGACGGGGCTATTTCAGGCCGTGTCAGCCTGGTGGTTTCCCGCCGCTCCCTCGGCCCTTTATCTTAAAAGACCATCTTTGGTGTCGGCCGGCTGCCCCCTTTGATGGCTGCCAGCGGGGGGCCACCTCCCCGCCGCCCGGGCCTCTCTGAGGGTTGACAATCCATTGTATTGATTCCTGGGACCCCACAGGCACCGGAAACCCAATGTGCCCGCATGGGGGGCGGGTAGCGGGGGCGGGGTAAGCGTCCGTTGGGATGGGGCAGGAGAGAATCCAAATGCGGCTGAAGGACCCAAAGCTTGTGCCCGACCTGGCCTGGGACTGCGTGACCCCTGAGTGCCGGGCCCTGGGGCGTCCTCTGACGAGTCCTCCTGGGGGACGGGGAAACTGAGGCCCAGAGAGGGGCCCAGGCGTGTCTGAGTCAGCGGCCGGCAGAGTTGAGCCCACCACTCAGGTCTCCAGACCTTAGCCCTTGCGGGGTCCCTCCCCCCGTCCCACATACTAAACCTGACCAGCTGGGGGAGGGGGGGGCGGCACAGGCGGGCCCCACAAGCTCAGAGACCGAGAGGAACCACGCGGGATGGTCTGAAATTAAAGCTTCCTCCCGAGGAGCCGTTCCTGGCGGGTAATCACATCGCAGGCTGGCATTTCCCTGGCAAAGCTGCATGGTGGCCTCCCTGAGCCTGTCTCTTTTTGCATCTACAAGACGCACCTGCCGCCACACCTTTGCCAGTCAAAGACCTGCTTTTCCCTAACAAAGGCCAGTCTTTACCTCAACGGAGCCTGTGCGCTGTCTTTTTGTTTTATTTTTAATTTTTTTTTTTGCATCTACAGTAGCATACCTTTGGATGTCAGAGTAATTATTTCTCCCTAACAAAGGTCAGTCTTTTGTCCGTTGTCTTTTTTTGCATCTAGGAAAATAACATACCTTTGGAATTTCAAAGTCATTTCCTTTCTTCCGGACCCTCAAAGCACAACCAGCGCACCAGCGTGGAGACCAGACCGCGGGTCCCCTCAGCGTTACCCCGTGTCAATTGCGCACCGCTAACCAGCACCCATCCGTGTAAAAGAAGTGCGCCCGTGTCTGCTCGGCCAACTTGTAACCCAGTCTCAGAGCTGTCCTGTCTCCCTCCCCTGTCGCCACTGGATTTCTTGTAACCCACTTACACCTCCTTCTTTGATTGAAATGTATAAAATAAGGGGCAAAACTATTTTATACTAAAACCCAGGCCTCCAACCTCCTGGTCAGATCCACCGGGCGGGAGAGGGTGTGGGCGGCATGGCCAGACCCGCGCACCCCGTCTCCAGGCCTCACTGACCCAGACCCCGCCCCAGAGGCCCCTGGCCCGGGCAGGGTGCGCCTCCTACCTGGCCTTGTGCGTCCTGTTCCCGGCCGAGGCGGGGAGGCTGGCGCTCCCGTTGGGGAAGGGGACCTCGGAGGAGCTGTTGGTCACTCGGTCACTGCTCAGCTCCAGGTAGGACCCGTTGAGCAGGTAAGCGCCGGGCCCCTCGCTCTCGTCGTAGTCCACATAGAGGCCCTCGGCCGGGGCTCTCCGGGGCAGGCCCTGCCCGAAGATTCTAGGGACCGTCTCGTTGAAGTTGAGGTCCTTGGAGTCGGAGCCTGGGGCCAGGATGATGAAGGCCGGGATGAACTCCGGGGAGGGAAGGTGGGCGTCGGCCTCTTGGTCATCCTTGTCCGCTGGGGGAGGCACCCTCGTGACGTTGCCATCTGCAAGGGAGATGGTGGCTCAACTTCAAGCAGCTCCTCACATGGCGGGGGGCAGGGGTGAGACCTGGGGCTGAACCTGGAAACCCCTGGAGGCAGGTCTCTGCCCCATGAGAGACCACATCCCAAGGGGAGCCTGCAAGCTAGCCTAGGCGATCGGTGGGGAGTCTGCAGTGGGTCGAAGGGGGTCCCCCCAAATTCATGTCCACCTAGAAACTTAGGATATGAGCTTATTTGGAAACTAGAGGCCCGGTGCATGAATTCGTGAATGGGCCAATCTGGCCGGGCTGGCTGGGGGGAGGGGCCGCAGGCAGTTGGCAGGCCAGCCCCACCCCCTGGTCGAACTCCTGGTCGAGAGAACAATTTGCATATTAGCCTTTTATTATATAGGATAGGATCTTTGTCAGCCTAGTTAAGGGTCTGGAGGAGATCACCCCAGATGTAGGATGGGGCCTCCATCCAATGACTGCCGTCCTTGCAGGAAGAGGAGGGCACCGAGGCAGTCTCCGAGGAGCAGGCAGAGCCTGGAGGGATGCGGCTGAAAGCCAAGGACGCCTGGCACCCTCAGAACTGGGGGGAGGGGGCAGGAAGGACCCTCCCCTGGAACCCTGACAACTTGGTTTGGGGTTTGTGGCCTCTAGAAGTGGGAGAGAACCCATCTCTGTTGACCTGGGCCACCAGTGTGTGATCGCTTATTACGGCAGCCCCAGGACACTGACACGACCTTCCACGTAAAGATGCTGAGGAGCTTGGAGACCTGCTCCCCAAGTGAGTGAGGGCCTCGGAACAACCCTGCTGAGCTGTGGCCGTCGGAATTGGCAGCGTGGATCTTGGGGACCCTGACCCCGGTTCACCACCACATCTCCACCCACACTTCCTGCCTCATCCTCGTCCCCACCTCTCTTTCCTGCCCTCAGCCGGCCAATCCTTCCCTGTTCCCAAGCCCTCAGATCAGGAGTCACCCCTGCCCCTCAGCTGCCCGCTATCCCCTTCCACAGCTCCTGCCACACTTGGGGTGGTGGCTGTCTGTCTGTCTGTCTGTCCGTCCGTCTCTACCAGATCAGCAAGAGCAGGGGCGATGGGGTCAGACTGTCCTGGGTTGGACTCCCACTCCACCACGGTGGGGTGGTCTGTGTGACGTGAGCAAGTCCTCCCTCTCCAAGCCTCAGTCTCCCCATCTGTCAAGTGTGGACAAGCGCACCCACCTCAGAGAACGAACGTCAGAG